CTAAATGGGGTGTGCGTTCTGGAGTGGGGCCAGAAATGAGGGGTTCTGGGTGCGGGAGGGGGCTCTGGGCAGGGAGTTGGGGTGTGGAGGGGGTGAGGGCTCCATCTGGGGGTACAGGCTCTGGGGTGGGGCCGGGGATGAGGGGTTTGGGGTGCAGGAGGGGGCTTCAGGCTGGGGGGTGGGGCTGAGGGATACGGAATGTGGGAGGGGGCTGCAGGTTGAGGCAGGGGATCGGGGTGTGGGAGGGGTGAGGGCCAGGGATGAGGGGTTCAGGGGGTGTGTGTGTGTGTGGGGGCTCTAGGCTGGGTTAGGGGGTTGAGGTGCAGGGGGGATGAGGGCTCTGGGCTGGGGGTGCAGGCTCTGGGGTGCAGGAGGGGGCTGTGGGTTTGGGGAGGCTCAGAGCTGGGGCTTAGGGTGCAGGAGGGGGTACGGGCTTTGGGGTGGGGCTGGGGATGAGTGGTTTGGGGTGCAGGGGGGTGCTCAGACCATTGGGCGTGCAGAGCTGGTGCTCAGGATGGAGGCAGCGTGCAGACACCTGAGGCCCCCTGCCTAGGAGCCAGACCTGCTGGCCACTTCCGGAGCGCCGTGCAGTGCCCCCGGACAGGTAGGGATTAGCCTGCCTTAGCCCTGCTGCACCGCAGACTGGACCTTTAATGGCCCAGTCGGCAGTGCTGACCGGAGCTGCCAGGGTCCCTTTTCGACCGGGCGTTCCAGTCGAAAACGGGACCCCTGGTCACCCTATGAAGTGTGTTGGATTTCCTATGACATTACCCGTCTTGCCCACAAGATGTCACCATATATTCTCTCTGCAACTAAACACCCAGTGGTTTGATGCGCTTCAGCCTCATAAGCAAGCCCATGAACAGAATCTGGATCAGTGCAGATTGCGGCAACAATCTGCCCAGGGAAAAGTCTGATTAATTGTGGATGGTGACATATTCCAGCCCACTGCTGCCTACGGATAAATTGGATGTGATGGAACCAGCAGGGAACTGAGGTTTGCCACCAACCAGGGTTAATGTGAAGTCCGTGGCCTATAAGTAAGTTCAGTGCAGCACTGATAATAATCACTTTTGCTTGCTGTCTGGCTGAGATCCAGTTTAATAGCTGTGGGACTGTATTCTCCCCTGGCAGGAAGCGTCTACTGGATGAGTTAATACAGTAGGTGGTCTTTTCCATCTGTAACTAAAATGATCCTATGGATTAGAAGGGAGCAAAAAGAGGTCAACATTTGAGAATGTCCTAACAAAGCCACCCCTTTACCAAGCATCTAGACTGAAAAACTGCTTTTATGCAGAACTCCCGGAGACTGACTTGGGGAGACAAGAGGAAGCATTTGTCAGGCTCTCTGGAGTGGCTCATGACTGTGAGTGCCTACCTCAGGCCAGACTGTCAGAAAACAGGGCAGATACCCCAAACTGATGGTGTGTTCTGTAATTAGATTTCACTGAGCCAGTCTTACCATGAAGTCACAGACAGTCCTTAGACTCTCCAGTCTATCTTGCCAGTCAGACAAACTGGACTTTATAATAAAGCTTCGCTTATACCAAAAATCCCATCACATTCAGGTTGCTTCCAGTCCCAAGAGACCAGTCACTTACCCCAGATCAACTGGCACTCTAGATCTTACTCCAAAGACAACGTTGGCAGCCAATTTTCTAGTAACTAACTAAAGGTTTATTAGCTAAGAAAAGGAAATGAGAGTTTTTGAGAGGTTAAAGCAGGTAAAATATATGCACAGTAAGTCATAGTTTGTCATTCCAAATGGTGACAGTGATCTAATAAATTGCCAGTTTCCCAAAAGTCTTTTCAGGGTACCCAGACTATCTCTGGGGATTCATAGATTCATAGATATTTAGGTCAGAAGGGACCATTATGATCATCTGCTTTGCATTTAGAAAAGGAGGACTTGTTGCACCTTAGAGACTAACAAATTTATTAGAGCATAAGCTTTTGTGAGCTACAGCTCACTTTGGTATATTTCCCTGTAAGAGTCCACACAGTCCCGAGATGCAGGATCTTTCCTTGAATCCAGCTTCTTCTCACAGAAAAAAGATGACAATATCTCTACCTGCGTAGGCTTTTCCTTTGATGACAGAGAATGAGGAATGCGTTTTTAATCTTTAAACTGCGATGATCACACACAATGACCCTGTGCTTTGAAATTTTCTATTAAAGTTCTTCATTTGCATTCCTGAAGGCTTCTTTCTTGGTTTATGGGTTATTTAGTTACAGGGTTAACACAATGTCAGTGTTTGCTACTGCATTATAAAGGGGATACAGATAAGTGAAAACAATGCATGTAACATCCCTCTAGTTTTTATGAAGTTTAAACACCAAATACACTCTTATACATTTAACAATCACTTTGATCTGTACTGATACACCTGAATTGGCCTGGGGCTGTGTCATAAGCTGACACCTGGTCTGCCAGCGTCACAGTGTTATGTTAATGAAACAGTTAATGTGTTGAGAAGCTGGCCTGGATGGGGATCACTGGTGGGACAAATGAGGGTGCATTCAAACTCAGTCACTTTCTCATTCAATATTGTCTTAAAGAGGGCTAGATCCTCCACTGGTGTAGTGCATCTCGGTGGAAGCCAATGGAATGAGGCTGGTTTATGCTGGCTGAGGATCTTTGAAACCCATAGTTTCAAGCCAAAGTGTGGGGCCAGCCTAGGTGAGAAGGACATGGAGCAGGAGCATGTACCTGGCAACCTAATGGCAAGTATGGCGGACAGAAATAGCCTGAGCTCTTTCTGAAACTAAACATGATGTAAAATGGGCCACTTCCAGGATGCCCTCCCCCACCCTGAGGGCAGATCTCTTCCTTCCCCAAACAGAGGAGTGAGGTCAAACTTCCTCTCTCTCCAGCATCCCACAGATACCCCTCCACAGCTTGTCCGCCGTGAAGGGGGCACTCATGGGCAGCGTGTGAACCGCAGGCTGGGGGAGGCTAGCCCCCAGCCCCGCCCCTTCAGCCCAAGGCCATGCCCCTTCCACACATTCCCACTGCCGGAGGGGGCCCCTCCCCCTGCAGCTACTGGCCCACACCCTAGGCTAGCCTCCCCTGCCCTGGAGTGCCAGAAGGGCGGGTGGCGTGGCCCCAGCCCTGGAGCGCAAGAAGGGCATGTGGCCTAAGCCCCCAGCGCGGGAGGGCAGATGGCATGGTCCCAGCTCAAGCTGGGGCCGCTGCTCAGGGGGACTGGAGCCTCACCGCCACGCTCAGAGCAGGCAGGAAGCAGGAGGGGCGCCCTGGGGGTGGGGCCACGCCTGGCAGTTTGGGGAGGCACAGCCTCCCCCAGCCTATGATTCCCGCTGCCCATGGGGGCACTGATCCCCTAGCTAAAACCTGCTGCACTTTGGGGGCTGGGCCAAGGCAGGATGGGGAAGAGCAAAGAACTTCCCGCCCTCTGTTGCTCATGCCAGTTTCTGGGTGGCGATGTATTAACCGCTGGCTGCAGCTCCCCTCTGTGACTGCAGCTAAAGACAGCTTGGCTCCTCTAGGGGCCAGACTGCCAAGTAGGGGAGAGAGGGGGGCCTGTAGGGCAGCATGGAGGCAGGAGCTGTGGGAGGATGATGGGGACTCTTCCACAGAATGCATGGGGTTTGGCAAGCCCTGCCCCAAAGGGATAATTCCCTGGAAACTCCCCAAGGAGAAGGCCACAGCGTTTACCTTTAGGCAGGAGCGATGTGGAGCACAATCCCGGCTGAGGCAGATCTTTCCTTGTCTCAGGGAGATAGGAAGGAGTGCTGCAGGGTTTAACCCTTTACTGGGTTTGCAGTCAGGACCAAATAGCTGATTTTATCGAGATGGGCAGAGGGAGGGGAGGGACTCACTGAAGATCCTTAGCTGCAATTATAGGATGGGACACCTTCAGTAAAAACCCTGAACGTTCTCACTCCCTTACTTATTGCCATCCTGTTTGTCTGTACTTTCACTTAAGCTCTTATTCCGCACCAGTTGAAGTCAGTTGAAAGAATCCCATTAACTTTAATGGGTTTTGTATTAAATTCTTATTCCTCCGCACAGCTGCAGAGCTGCTAATCCGGAAACCGGGTTTGGGGACTGACCTGGGGATTCATGCTTTGTGCAGTGGACACTAGGCCCTTCAGAAGAGTGACAAGCCTGATTGCTAAGTTACTATCCTACGCTATGTACGTCACTATATTAGTGGCTTAATTCCCCATTGAGCTGAGTAATGTAACAGGAAAACCAGAGATGGACGTGGGCCACAAAGCTGAGATCTCCACCCAGACTTCCCTAAAGTTTGGGGGGAGGTTGGATCCTGGGTTTGGATCAGCCCATCCTAGAGACGGGAGCCAGGCATGAAGTGTGACCTGGAGGTTCCTCAGGCAGGCCTGGGCCTGTACAAGGAGGGGTGGGTGGGTGTGTGTGTTGATTGAGCAGTTAATAAAGGGGTGGATAGATAGTAAGCAAAACTTGTTGATTAGTTTAAAGCACCCCTCTTTGAGTATTTTTGTGAATGAAAGCCCCAAAGCTTGGTTTGTTCCTGGAATTTTATTATTCAAATATTATTTAATATTTAGCATTCTGAGGCCCTAGTAGGTTCAGCATCCACATCCCATTATTCTAGGTACTGCACAAATACACAGGGAGACCCCAAGGAGCTTACAGTCACCAACCAAGACTGCAGGTATCTGTGAATCCTGAAAACTTCACAAATGATCACTTGAGACAGAGGCAAAGCCATGAAGTGACTTGACCAAGGTCACATAACCATTCAGTGGCAGAGCCAGGAACAGACCCCCATGGGCCAGATTCTAAGCTGGTGTAAATTGGCATAATGGAGCTACATTGATTTATACAAACTGAGAATCTGTCCCCAGATCTCCTGTGTCCCAGTCTGGAGCCTTATCCACAGGATCACACCTCTTCTCAGTGAGGAACATGCTAACGTTTCATGACACACTGTGCATTGGCTGATCCTCTGCTCTCAGGACGTTTCTAACCTCTTGAAAACTTCTCTTATTTGCAGGAGGCAGAGGGAAGGACGGGGCACCCATTATAACTTTCCCAGAGTGTGCGGGGTTCAGCGATATACCCGACGAGGATTTTCTGAACGTTCTGACTTATTTAACCAGCATTCCCAGGTGAGCCAAAGCACAAAGGCCTGCTGTCTCCCTGCAGTTTCACTTCCCGAGTGGATCACTGCTTTACTTTGTGTTCACTGTTTTAGAACTTCTGAGAGGTTGCAGTCTGGTGGCCCTGCAGAACCAGGGCCGCTAGTCATCCAGCATGGAATTCACCCCTGTGCAAAAGACCAGGTCAAGGCCTATGTACGACTTAAGTCCCACTTCAGTCATACATAGGCCTGGAGCAGGTTTTCTGCACAGGAGTGAATTTCACCCACACACAACAGGTACAGCGCAGGCTTCCCCAGGCGGCCCTGCCCTCTTCTTCACACACAACAGAGGAAGAACCAGAGCTCTGACTCTGCATGTGTGCTTTATGGCAAGATTACAGAAGGTGGGGACTGCCAGGGGCGAGACTGGTGCACTGCAAAGCCTTGCTACTCTGCAGTTTGTTAATTCACCCTCAGCAACTGTCTTTCCCTATTTCCCAGCACAGAGTGAGTAGCAGAGGGCTATAGTATGGTCTTTACACAATATACTACAATAGTGTGGCTATACACACTAGAACAATCTTGCTGTAAATGTTATAGCATTGGTAGTAGATGGTTTTTCATTTTGCTGTCAAAGTCAAGGGAGACATCGAGGTAGAAAACAATTTGACCAGGAAGAGGGGTATAGGCTATTAGATTGTGGGGAAGGTTACATATGGTTCCACCAGATAGTGTACGGTGCATTTTGAAAAGAAATACATTCTGCTTGTCGAGATGTTCAGCATATAAAATGCTTCATTGCCACAGAGCAGAAGATAAAGATTGATCAGTATCCATTCCAGGCAGAGGAGGAGGTTCTGCCTTTGCAGGTCAGTGTAGTGGGGCGGCTGCCCCACTCCAAGATAAAAGTTGGCCCTGATAAGAGGGCTGTGGCTGGGAAAAGCAGTGAGAGCAGCTGAGTGAGTAGCTGACCACAGGTGTGGCCAGCTCAGTCAGGCCCCAGCTGGCCCTGATAAGAGGGCTGTGGGCCAGGAGCTGGGAGAGTCTCACTCCAGCCCTGGGGTGGGAAGGGCTAGCTGCCTGAGAGCAAGGTACCTGAAGTAGAGCAGTGCTGGGGAAGGATAAGAGGAGCTGGGGAGCTCCAGACTGGTAAACCCCCAGGCTGTAGGCCGTGGTGAAGGCCTACAAAGGTACTGGGGCACAAAGGTGCAGCCTGGGTATAGGCAAAGGCAGCTGGTCCTAACCCCTTGCCAGTGATGAGTGACCATAACAGACTGCAGTCTGCCCCAGTGAATGGGGGACTAAATGATGACTGGCAGTAGCCACTGAGGCAAGTTGGGTTTAGAGGATTGGGGGTTCCCCTCAGAGGGGAGACCCAGAGTGTGGGGGAAAGGGGCACTGGGGGTCTGGCAGGGACACGGGGCCTGAGGCAGGTGAGACACTGGCCAGCAGAGGGCATTCTGAGGCTGAAAAAGAGCTAATTCCCAAGATGATCAGCAGGAGGTGCTGCACTGATGAGTCGTCGCTTCGCTACAGTCAGTTTCTGTGTGTCCTGCAGAATTCAGTAGCAGTTCTGTGTTAATCAGGCAGAAAAGATTTGTGATCACCAAAGTAAAATCATAGAATATCAGGGTTGGAAGGGACCTCAGGAGGTCATCTAGTCCAACCCCCTGCTCAAAGCAGGACGAATCCCCAATTTTTGCCCCAAATGGCCCCCTCAAGGATTGAACTCACAATCCTAGGTTTAGCAGGGCAATGCTCAAACCACTGGGCTATCCCTCCCCACAATGAAATATGCCTTCCAATCAGGGAGATGGCATAACTAATCCTATATGACTTTCTAAATCCCCCCATGCATTACTGTACTTCTGTAACACTTACTGTGTATAGAACATGCAAAAGGGGTGTGTGTATGTGTGTACTGGCACAGTGTAATTATTTATAAGTATGTGCTCACCTTGCAAGCCTCTGGGCACATTTACATCATTCATTGTCACCCATGTAATGCCTTGCCCCAGGTGGGTTGTTAGCAGTGGGAAGTGAACCTGGAACTTCCAAGTGTGAGATGCTATGGCCTGAGCTGAGACACCCCCATTTCCTAGCAAAGGCTGTAGCAGGCACTTTAAACTCTATGTATGACCCCACCACCACTAGAGGGGGACAGAGAGCCATAATGAATGGGCATGGGTTACACCCACCTCCCAACCCACTATCTGGAATAAAGAGCGTCAGTAGAAAGTCCTTTCTTAACCACTTCAGTCCATACCCAGAATTCCCTTTTAGCCCAGATCAGCCAAATGCTTCAATGAACAGATGAGCCTTGCACCTTTTCTAATGGATCCTCAAACCTGGCAACTCTTGGACTCTTAGGGTAGGTCTACACCTCAAAACACCAAAAACCAAACCCAAAACAAGAAAAAACAAACCCCTGGTCTTGAGTCTCAGAGCCCAGGCTCCAGTGTGAAGTCTACACTGCTATTTTTAGCTCTGTAGCACAAGCCGAAGTCAGTTGACTCAGGCTCTGAGCCCTGGTCTACACTAGGACTTCAGGTCGAATTTAGCAGCGTTAAATCGATGTAAACCTGCACCCGTCCACACGATGAAGCCCTTTTTTTCGACTTAAAGGGCTCTTAAAATCGATTTCCTTACTCCACCCCTGACAAGTGGATTAGCGCTTAAATCGGCCTTGCCAGGTCGAATTTGGGGTACTGTGGACACTATTAGACGGTATTGGCCTCCGAGAGCTATCCCAGAGTGCTCCATTGTGACCGCTCTGGACAGCACTCTCAACTCAGATGCACTGGCCAGGTAGACAGGAAAAGAACCGCGAACTTTTGAATCTCATTTCCTGTTTGGCCAGCGTGGCAAGCTGCAGGTGACCATGCAGAGCTCATCAGCAGAGGTGACCATGATGGAATCCCAGGATCGCAAAAGAGCTCCAGCATGGACTGAACGGGAGGTATGGGATCTGATCGCTGTATGGGGAGAGGAATCCGTGCTATCAGAACTCCGTTCCAGTTTTCGAAATGCCAAAACCTTTGTCAAAATCTCCCAGGGCATGAAGGACAGAGGCCACAACAGGGACCCGAAGCAGTGCCACTTGAAACTTAAGGAGCTGAGGCAAGCCAACCAGAAAACCAGAGAGGCGAACGGCCGCTTCGGGTCAGAGCCCCAAACATGCTGCTTCTATGATGAGCTGCATGCCATTTTAGGGGGTTCAGCCACCACTACCCCAGCCGTGTTGTTTGACTCCTTCAATGGAGATGGAGGCAACACGGAAGCAGGTTTTGGGGACGAAGAAGATGATGATGATGAGGTTGTAGATAGTTCACAGCAAGCAAGCGGAGAAACCGGTTTTCCCGACAGCCAGGAACTGTTTCTCACCCTGGACCTGGAGCCAGTACCCGCCGAACTCACCCAAGGCTGCCTCCTGGACCCGGCAGGCGGAGAAGGGACCTCCGGTGAGTGTACCTTTTAAAATACTATACATGGTTTAAAAGCAAGCATGTGAAAGGATTACTTTGCCCTGGCATTCGGGGCTCTCCTGGATGTACTCCCAAAGCCTTTGCAAAAGGTTTCTGGGGAGGGCAGCCTTATTGCGTCCTCCATGGTAGGATACTTTACCACTCCAGGCCAGTAACACGTACTCAGGAATCATTGTACAACAAAGCATTGAACTGTATGTTTGCTGGCATTCAAACAACATCCGTTCTTTATCTCTCTGTGTTATCCTCAGGAGAGTGAGATATAATTCATGGTCACCTGGTTGAAATAGGGTGCTTTTCTTCAGGGGACACTCAGAGGTGCCTGTTCCTGCTGGGCTGTTTGCCTGTGGCTGAACAGAAATGTTCCCCGCTGTTAGCCACAGGGAGCGGGGAGGGTTGAGGGGGTAGCCACGCGGTGGGGGGAGGCAAAATGCGACCTTGTAACGAAAGCACGTGTGCTATGTATGTAATGTTAACAGCAATGTAGCCAGTGTTTTATAAAATGTGTCTTTTTAAATACCACTGTCCCTTTTTTTTTCTCCACCAGCTGCATGTGTTTCAATGATCACAGGATCTTCTCCTTCCCAGAAGCTAGTGAAGATTAGAAAGAAAAAAAAAACACACTTGTGATGAAATGTTCTCCGAGCTCATGCTGTCCTCCCACACTGACAGAGCACAGACGAATGCGTGGAGGCAAATAATGTCAGAGTGCAGGAAAGCACAAAATGACCGGGAGGAGAGGTGGCGGGCTGAAGAGAGTAAGTGGCGGCTGAAGACAGGGCTGAAGCTCAAATGTGGCGGCAGCGTGATGAGAGGAGGCAGGATTCAATGCTGAGGCTGCTGGAGGATCAAACCAGTATGCTCCAGTGTATGGTTGAGCTGCAGCAAAGGCAGCTGGAGCACAGACTGTCACTACAGCCCCTGTGTAACCAACCGCCCTCCTCCCAAAGTTCCATAGCCTCCTCACCCAGACGCCCAAGAACGTGGTGGGGGGCCTCTGGCCAACCAGCCACTCCACCACAGAGGATTGCCCAAAAAACAGAAGGCTGGCATTCAATAAATTTTAAAGTTGTAAACTTTTAAAGTGCTGTGTCTCATTTTCCTTCCCTCCTCCATCACCCCTCCTGGGCTACCTTGGTAGTCATCTCCCTATTTGTGTGATGAATGAATAAAGAATGCATGAATGTGAAGCAACAATGACTTTATTGCCTCTGCAAGCGGTGATCAAAGGGAGGAGGGGAGGGTGGTTAGCTTACAGGGAAGTAGAGTGAACCAAGGGGCGGGGGGTTTCATCAAGGAGAAACAAACAGAACTTTCACACCATAGCCTGGCCAGTCATGAAACTGGTTTTCAAAGCTTCTCTGATGCGTACTGCACCCTCCTGTGCTCTTCTAACCGTCCTGGTGTCTGGCTGCGCGTAACCAGCAGCCAGGCGATTTGCCTCAACCTCCCACCCCGCCATAAATGTCTCCCCCTTACTCTCACTGATATTGTGGAGTGCACAGCAAGCAGTAATAACAGTGGGAATATTGGTTTTGCTGAG